TATGAATAAACATAAATATTATATCTGGAGGAGGGTAAATGACTGTGGGCTGGAGTAGCTAGAGAAATCTTCATAGCAGAGTTGGCACTTGATCTGTGTCTTAAGCATGCTTTGCGAGAAGTCCCTTTTTTGAATAATATCCCCAGATGAAGGCCTTCTCTCTTAAGTGAGGGTGACCCCAGGACTGCATCACCACAAAATCTATAATGTATCCCTGTTATTTCAATCCTTTGGGAAGTCTGAGTTCTAGGTGAAACAACAGAACAACTAAGCCACTTTGCTCCCTCAGAAAAATACTTTGGACCTCTGCTTGCCATCTTTTAATACCTGGCTGTCAACCTTGAAAAGTTCATGTCTAGGACTAAAGATCTCCCAGCTCAGGAACAACAAACATCCAGGCAAGCCTAACAAATCTCTTTGCCCCATCCCCTCATTCAAGTTACTTTTATTGGAACAAGGAAGTATGGATACAAAAAGATAGACATCAGCAGTTACATATTCTTAGCCTCAATGAAAGGGGCCCACTGGGAGTAGCAGTGGCCCATTCTCATTACACAACCCATTAGTGGTATGAGAACACTACTTCCTAATAAAATGAAATTTTTATCTGGCCACAGATAAAACAGAGTCTTTCTAGAAGCTTCCATTTGGGTTGTATAGACGAGCCCTCTTCTCACAATCAGTCCATAAGCTAATTGATCCATAAGCCCCCCCCCCCCAAGGAGGGGAGAGGAAGAGACACAGGAAGGGCTGCAATTTTCTAAACCATGAGGTATCCTAAAGTATCTCCCAAAGTGTCCCCACTTAAAATTTCTCTGACCCTGCAGCAACTGCCATGACTAAAGAACTAGAAGGCATTTAGAAAGGACCAAAGCATTCAGTCTTTCTCCAAGTGGTGTCATTATACAGCTTTAGTTAGCAGAAAGAAGAAAAATAAAGGCTGAAATGTGCAAGCATTTCTATCTCATTTTCTTCTGTCTTCTCCAAAACTATATTATCTACAGTGTAGATTTACAACAATTTAATATCACAACATATAATCAGCACTTTCAAATCAGTAATAGTCAACGTCCCAAAAGAAGAAAAAATGTAAAGAACTGCCCAAATGCCATTGCTGAATATAATGTATTTTCATTGTAATTTTCTGTCGTTCTACAAATATATAAATTTTATATGGTTGCTACTCAGTATATAAGCTCTTGTGTGCTGCTTTTCATTCCTATATACCTAAAACACTTCAGCATTTTAATCATTTCTGTTAGTTTTCACAATTATAATTTTTTTAAGCTTTTATTAGGGAATTGGAGGAGGGGAACAGTGCTGGGTAATCGGGGAAGGGGAACAGACAAGTTGCCGTCCTTTTGTTCTTCAGTCTAGTTGTGGAGGACGTCACTTCACTGGCCCATGTCGGTATTATCATTGCGCTCTTCCAGGGAGAGGCAAATCAGTCACTGGCCATTGGATGGCTGCTCACAGCGGCTCACACTGGCTGCCGTCCACTCCCGGCAGTCCAGCTTCAGGCCGAGCTGTTGTTCACCAGCTTAGCTGTAGAGGGCGCAGCGTCACTGGCCCTCATGCGGGATCTGAACCAGAGCCCTGCTGCTCAGAGTTGGTGCTCTCAAGCCGACTCTTAACCAACAAGCCACTTGGCCGGCCCCAAAATTATAATTTTAGAGGTTCATAATTCACACAATTCTTTTTAGCAACTGACAATTTTCTTATTCTCATACCAACATGGGATAAATGAAACCCAAAATTCCCATTAAGAAACATCAGTAGCAATAGTATTTATAACTACAACTCAAGGTCAATGATTCCCAGTGATATAGAGCACAAAGGAAAACAGCAGAAGACCCACTCTTCACTATTTCTAAGCCCTCATTTCCCAAAATTCTGTGAATCCATAGGTCCTTAATCAAGCACCCCCTGTCCTGAAATAAATTTGCTAAATTGGTTGGGTTATTTTCAATTTACTCCATCCAGCATCCAACTTATCTCCTCACCTCTCTTCTTTGAACGATAGAGTGTTAGATCAGAATCACTGGTTTCAATATAAATAGGTATAGAAACAGATGTGATATAACTGTGCATGTGTGTGTATACACACATGTATAGGCAAGGATATATTCCCCAGCTTTGTCTAACTCCACTGAGAGGACCTGAAAGCACTGATACCCCAATAGCAATGATCACACCTAGCACCCAAACCTTGGCTTCTAAATATTTTCCCCTAATAGGAACATTTTAAGCATCATAATAATAACAAACTGTAATCCATTGAATAAAATGGGAAACCATGAATCAATACAGATATAAATAAATAAATCATTTGAAAGTTTGATGAGGAATAGAATATTTATATAGTTTCAAAGTACCACTCAACAAAACATTAATCACAAAGAGGGGAAAAGAGTAACTTACAGTGGAGAAGCCTCACAGATGCCACCTTAATCAAGTTATCAAAATAAACTGTGATATTCCTACCAAAGATGCATAATCATAAATCTAATGATGAAGAAACATTGGACAGCCAAAATAAGGAACATTCTATAAAATAACTGGTCTACAATCTTCTAAAGTGCAACATCATGAATACAAGAAAAAACTGAGGAACTATTCCAGGCTGAATTAGACTAGACATAAGATAACTAAATGCAACAAGGGATCCTGAACCAGATCTTTTTGCTATAAAGGCGTTTACTGAGACAGTAAAACTTGAATGGGGTCTAAGGATTAGATGGTAGTAATGTAACAATTTAACTTCTCAATTTGGAAGGTTGTATGTGGTTATGTTAGAGAATGCTCTTCTCTATAAGGAAATGTACACTCAAGTATTTGGGGCAATTGGGTATTAGGTTGACAACTTTCAAACAGTTCAGGAAAAAAATGTTTCAATGTACTTCCATCTTCTTAAGTTTGCGATCATTTCAAAAATTTTTCAAAAGTTTAATTGATAAAGAAATGTAAAGAAAAGTACAACAGAAAGCACACTGGATTCTGAGTCAGGCCTAGGTTCCTATAGATCTCTAGTGTGTCAAATACTGTTAAATTTCCCTTCATCAGCAAAATAGGGATGATGTTTATATTGTAAAAATCAAATGAAATGAATTATGAAAAAACACTTAATACATGAAATTACGCATCAAGCATAAAATATTTATTTTGCAATCCTGTCGAAACAAATTAACGACTTACTATAAAAATAAAACAAAACATGCTACAGGTACAAAAGACATGTTGTGGCACTGTATCAATCAGGGTCTGAGCAGAAAAAGATGGTACACTCAAATTAGAATAATTCAAGTTCAAGGAAATTAAAAGACTATTTACACAGGGGCGGGAGGGGAGTGGGAAAACTACAATGGATAGTGCAATAACCTGGAACCAGTGCTGGAAATTCACCACCTCTGGGCCCAAATGGGCAAGAGAAAGAAGGACTCACCAAAACATGGAAGGAGAGAATCATGTGGAGAGAGCCTCCTTGAGGGAAGCTTGACCTTAAGGTAAAAAGGAGGCCAGACCAAGAGACCTGGACAGGAGGAAACCTCTCCCTCTGATCTCCTGCTAGGGTTCTCCATTGTTCAACCCCAACCTCAAGCCAGAGGGCAAGGGAGCCCACTGATTAGTCCAACAAGTCAGCCCCTGAGGCAAAGAGTAAGGTGAAAAAGGTTCAAGAGATGATCTGGAAGGGCAAAAGGAAGATATTCAACAAAACTTAAGAGGATGAGAATGCTACCTCAAGAACCAGGGAAGACTTCATGAAATAGGAAACATCTGAAATGGGCCTTAAAACATGAGTTGGATTTTAATGATGGGGATGATTTTGTAGGCAGTATGAGCAATACATGCAAAGCTGTGAGTAATGAATACGCATGGCTCTCCAGGTGGAATTCAGAAAACCGAATATGTTGGGAGATAAAACTAAAATATCAGGGTCATATTAAGGAGTAGGTTTATTTTTTCTTTCATCTTAATGTGCACTGCATTATTTATAGCAAAATCTCAAGGAATGCAATAGGAGGGTCACTGTTCCACCATGAAAAATTAGCAGCAAAAGGACAACAAGATAGGAAAGAAATTAAGAAACACACTTATGGATAACCCTTGAATCAAAGAGGAAAACAAAACTGAAATTATAAACTACTCAGAAATCAATGAAAAGAATAATGTATCATACCAATGAAACATGACATGTATCCACTTTTACAATATCACACAGAATAATTTCACTGCCCTAAAAATCTCCTGTACTCTACCTAGTCATCCCTCCCCCGCTTCCTCCGAACACCTGGCAACCACTGATCTGTTTACTGTCTCCATATAGTTTTGCTTTTTCCAGATGGTTATATAGTTGGAATCATACAGAATGTAGCCTTTTCATATTGGCTTTTTCTTCACTTAGTAATATGCATTTAAGATTTCTCCATGTCTTTTCATGACTTGATAGTTCTTTTTGTTGTTGTTGTTGTTATTGTTGCTTGTTTGTTTTTTTATATGAATAAGTTTATTTTCATTTGGGGCAGCTGGTTAGCTCAGTTGGTTAGATCACAGTGCTCATAACACTAAGGCCGCCAGTCCAATCCCCACAAGGGCCACTGAGCTGCACCCTCCACAACTAGAATGAAACAACCACTCGACCTGGAGTTCATGGGGTGGGTCCCGGAAAAACACACTGTTCCCCCTCCCCCCCCAAAAAAACAGTTTATTTTCATTTTCTTTGACATCTGCTGAACTGTGGAGCCAGGCTCCGTTGGTAGGGCTATGTGGTGCCTTGTACCTGTCTGCCTCCTGATATTCTGTTTACCATGTCCAGAAGGCTCAGCTTCTTGAGGAGCTGAAGGTATGTTTAGAAGGGTATGTTCCCAGCATGAGAGAGATTTGGAGCCCAGGCAGATGACATAAAATACACTGAATTTATCTCTTGGTCCATCCTGTTCTGGCTTCAGAGAAATAAGACACTTGTTAGTGAGACTGGTGCCATTTGGTGTAATTTCTGTACCTTAAACTCCCTCGTCGCAGAGATTTTGTTCCTGGTCTTGTTTCTGTTCTAAAGGCTCATCAAGTTCTCTTTTTTTCTGGACATGGAACCTAGATCTTTGATTTTGAAACCAAATTTGGACTCTTGACTCTGGAACCCCAATTTCCTTAGCAAGTTGCTCTCTGGAATCAATCCCAGGATAAGGATTGTTTGTAAATGCTGTGATGAGGGTGTGTAACTGAGAGGAAGTATAGCTGGTATGACACCGTCTATCTTCTCTACCATGAATCTTCTCTTCAGGGTGATCTTGGTCTTGGCTTGCTTCTAAGTCCTTCTCAGGTTCTGATCTTTTCTGAACTTCGTGCCTAGCTCTTGGATTCTGAAACCAAATCTGGATTCTAGACTCTTCAGTATTGGTTTCTAAAGCAAGCTTTTGTTTGGTAGCATAACCTGGGTAAGGTTTTTGATTGAATGCTTTCATGAAGATTTTCAACTGGTCTTCTGTGAATTTGGTGCGGCTTCGTCTATGATTCCTTGCTGTGGTCTTGTTTAGAGAGTTGTTTTTGGCCATGTTGGAATAGAGTCCTGAAGCTTTCAACTGAGAGCGCTCATTTGTTTTTAATACTGAATAATATTCCATTGTCTAGATGTACCAAGTTATCTATTAACCTATTGAAGGACATCTTGGTTGCTTTCAAGTTTGGGCAATTATTAATAAACATTTCAAGCACAGGTTTTTGT